GGGGGGGGAGGAGCAGCCGCCCCTCTCCTGCGAGTTCGGAAGTGTGCCAGGTGTCACACTCAGACCTTTGTTTGCCATCATTTCATTGTATTCTTCCACTTCATTGCATTCCCTACTTCATCCCTAAATCTCCTGCTTGTACACTTTGGTCTGGGGAAGGTTTGTGCGTGTGTGTGTGCACACTACGCTGGCAACTATTTCATGAAGGAGCCCTCCCAGCTGGGGAGAATGCAAACGGCCCTTGAACACCGCTTGTGGGAGCCTCGCTGTCACTGATCAGTAACGGTGGAATTGCAGGTGGTCTGAGGAGGGCCACCAAGGCCCACTAGCTTTGCGCTGGATGAATGGATGGAATGATTGGATAGGGGGAGGGGGGGGGGCTTGTTTGAACTAAGAATGAAATTGAAAGATTATAACTTTGGCTCTTTAGTTCTGACACAGAAGGTCACAGCTTGGATCATCATAATGCCTCAATAAGCACATCACAAAGCAGGGAGTGCTGCTGGGAGCCTCTTTGTTCCAGGAACCTGACACCAGGGGAGAGCTACAGGCTGGGAGGCCAGACTTCAACCAGGGGGCCCCCAGCTCGAGACCCCACCCCAGGCGCCCAATGAGCCCCGGATCCCCTACCTCTGTCCATGAGGAACACTTGGCCCATCTCCGGCTTCCGGCCCAGGCTGTCGCCTTCGCTCTCCTCCGCGACCTCACGCCAGACTTCGTGGACCATCTGGGGGAAGAGCACATCCGGCCCATCGTCTCAAGCCCAGTGTCCTCTGACCGAGCCCCACCGCACCAAGCGCCAGGAGGCAGGCAGCGATCCTCCCTCCGCTCCCTCCGGTGCCGAACTGCCTCCCCTGCCCCAGCTCCGAAGGGACCACGCGGAGAAAGGCCGGCAGACGGCCCAAATCGCCCTCCAAAGTCGCTTTCTGCATCTCTCCTGGCTGCCAGTAACCTAGCATGTGCCCCCCCACCCCCCCACCCCCCACCGAGACTTCTTTTCAGGATCTGGGCCCCCACCCTCCCCCTTTCCCCAGACCACACCTTGGCGCACCGGCCAATTCCGTAGGTCCTGGTAAACGGTCCAAAGAGGGAGCTCATTAGCTGCAAAGCCTGGGCCACGGTACTGATCCAGCACTGATTCCCTTCCTAGAGGTGCACAAGAACCACAGACAGCGGCTTCGGTCTCGGCAGCCAGCCAGCCAGCCACCCCGCGGCCCTCACCTGGAAGGTTCACCACTTAAGAGCCCTCGTATCAAAAGCGGTGGCCCAGCGGTGGGGTGGGACAGCCAGAAGCGACGGCCTGCCCTCAGGGGCCTCTCTGAGAAGCCTCTGAGCCCCCAGGGGAGAGGGGTGGGCGGGGCAGGGCGGGGCGGGCAGTGCAAAAGACTGACCAGGAAGTAGTCGCGGAAGAACTCGGGCAGCTCCATGCTGATGATGTCATCGTCCAAAGGCAGCAGGTAAAAGGACCACTCGTCCCAGGTCACGTCTGGAGGAGGAGAAGGGCAGGGAGGGGCTCCAGTCTGCGGCCTGACATCACCCCGGGAACGGCCCAGAAGCCTCTGGGCCTGGGGAACAGGAGGCTGTGCGGCCAGAGGCACCAGCTCGGGCATGCCGACTCCCCACACCACGGGCAGATCTTCTCCCCCGCTGCTTTGTTCCTCCCAGTGTTCACTTTCTCCGCAGCAGACTCCCGAGAGCCCTCCGCTAGCTCGCCAGACTTACCCCCGTAGATCCCTTCTTCCTCCAGGACCATCTCACATGTGTAGAACTGCAAAGGAGGGAGCCAGCCGTCAGTCTCTCCTGTGTGGCCTTAGCAGGCCCCCTTGCCCAGGCCTCCCGCAGCCCCACACCCTGTCCCTGACACTGGTTACCTAGGCAATACACAGACCGGAACTGGCACAAGCCCCCCCTGGAGCAGGACAGGGGCTCTCTCCCGAACTCCTCTCTCCAGGGGGACAGAAGTCTCGCCAGGCCCTCCCGCCCCCCAGACCTCTCGCAAGGCCAATCTCCTCCTATCCCGCCCAGCCAGGCTGTCCAGATTTCGCTCCCAAACGGTGTATTTGGTCTTTAGGAAATGTACACGCTGCCACTCCAGACACCCATTCGAGAAGCCTCACAAAGTAAAAACAATGCTACACAACAATAAAAACAGCAACATGTGAAAAAGCCATAAAAACGGCCCAACATGAGATTCAGCAGCCTAAAACGATATTCAAAGCAGAGTTCTCAGGATGGAAGCAGATCAGAGAAACAACAAAAGGCAGAACACAGCCCCTGTTGAAAGCCCAGACAAAGAGCACAGCCCAGGACAGCACAAGATGCACCCGGGAAGCACTCCGAGGACAATCCGCCCTCAACCGCCCGGCCTCTGGCCACCGCCCAGCTTGCCTCTGTGGGCAGGAATACAGAGAGGGACGAAGACCTTGGGGAGAGGGGCTCAGCCGGAGGACTTCAGAGGAGGGGAGAAAGCGCTGCTCCAAGTACCCAAACCCACAAGCCCTTCAGGGATTCGGAGATAAGAACCAGGACTGGGAATAGTCAGGCAGCCAGGGCAGCCCTCTCAGCACAAGGGGGGGGGGGGTACAGCCCCTGTCACCGACCCCCGGCAATGGCTTGACGGCTGCAGCAGCCTGAACCCGCTGATTCCTCCAGTCTGTTTTTACAGTCAGCCCCCACCGGAAGCACACATGACACTACAGCAATTGAATCTGGCTTCGGTCTGAGCCGGGGCCACTGTCACCAGATCGCACTTTCTGAGGAATGGCTGCCGCTGGCATATCAGCCGAAGCTGTCAAAAGACACGAAGGGCCACGCCAGCTGCAACTTGCCCTTCGGGGGGGGGCTGTAAGCCCAACGGGGCCACGGCCTCCTGTCATTCAGGTGCCAAGGTAAAACATTTCTCTTCACCCCAGTGTTTAATGCAAAGGCTCCATCTTTCCAGCAACTATAATCTTGGTCTGTTTAGCCTGAGGTTCTGCCTCAGCCAACTCTTACCCAGTTTTAATATGGATAATGTTGCGGTCTTGATTTTCTTGGTTTTACCGCCTTGACCAGGACTCTCTAAAGACGGCGTGGGCCTTTTCTAACCGAACAAAGCCTCACCTTCTGAGGGCTGAAGATAATCTTGTACTTGCGGGTCCTCCCAGAAGCCTTATCAGCGTTGACGATGTCTGGGAAGAGACAACAGATCCAGAGAGCTGCTCAGACAGGCCGGGCTGCCTCCCCCCCAGGTGGGGGCACCTTCCTTCCTGCTTGGCTTCGGCTGTCGCCAGCATACAGGGAGATGGAAGGCAGATCAAAATACCCACCAACCAACATTCCCTCAACTAGTTGTTTTAGATTTCCCAGGCTGTATGGCCATGGTCTTGGCATTGTAGGACCTGACACTTCACCAGCAGCTGTGACTGGCATCCTCAGAGGTAGAACACAGCCTGGGGAACTCCCACAAGATAATGACTCAGCCCTACCCCACCTTCCTGAGTAGATATAAATCACCTGCCTACCATTTTTCTTCTCACCTTGATGCAGAGAGTCCTCCGTCTTTCTGTGTTATACCTCTGAGGATGCCAGTCACAGCTGCTGGCTAAATGCCAGGTCCTACAATGCCAAGACCACGGCCAGACAGCCTGGAAAATCTACAGCAGCTAATGAACTCCGGCCGTGAAAGCCTTCGACAACTTATTCCCTCAACTGCTTGTGAAGAAGAAAGCGGTAAAAAGTTTAAAGTCTGCGAAACAGCCTATACGGTTTCCTGTGAAGACATCCTGCCACTAGCTGGAAGAGAAACCCACTAAATAATGACTGCAGTGCACAGTTGGGATGGGTGACAAAAACAAAGGCAGAACTCCTCAATTATTTCCCAGCACCCGACGTGAATGCTGGTGCCCATCAAAGGTGGGGTTATGGGAGTGGGGGAAGAAAAGATGGCGCTTGAGAAGGAGAGGCTGCAGCTGAGCGGCAGCATTTCCCATTCAAGGGCAGAGGCGCTGGGCGGCAGCTCCCATGCCCACGAGGTGAGGAGTCTTATTTGGCTCCACCGGAGGGCAGTGCTCCACTCCGACCAGTCAAAGGAAGCCTATCCCACGAGTCTGTTTGGGGGATGCCCCTCATCGATCACCCAGACGGGCCCCCTCCTGCCCAGCCGGCATGACTTTTATTTATTCACTTATACGCCCCCCTTCTCTCCCCAGTGGGGACCCAAGGCAGCTGACCTCACTCTCCTCCGTTTTCTCCTCACAGCAACCCTGTGAGGTAGATACGTCTGACAGCGTGTGACCGGTCCAGGGTTCCACGGCACGAGTGGGGACTCAAGGCTGAGCCTCACAGACTCTCATCCGACAATCAGGCTGGGAAAGCAGGTAAAGGCACCTCCAAGCCAACTCACCTGCCACATATTTCACACTCCTGATGCGCGGCCGGACCAAGAAGCACAACCTTGGGAGAAGAACACAGGCGGGTGACACGGGTGGGCGGGCAGGCAGAGGGGGCTCTCCTTCCCCAGGCCCCCTCAGGTCGGGCCCCCCACCCCTCACCCCGCTTGGCAGGCAGGCAGAACTCACTGGTCGCTGGCGCTGTGGGCCGGCTTGTTCTCGATGCGGTAGAGCTTGTCCACTTCGTGCTGCTGCTCAGGGAGAGAAGGGGGAAGGTGGTGGCAGCCGAGTGAGCGGTGCCCGGCCCGACTCCCGCAGGGGGTGCCCCAGACAATAACTAGGGCTCCCAGGTCGTCCCCCCCGGCCACTGGCAGGGAGGGGGGGGAGGCAGGCAGTTAGGGCTGCCACATCCCTGCTGAGGAAACTCCTGGAGGTTTGGGGCTGGAGCCTGAGGAGGACGGAGACCTCAGTGGGGTACAAGGCCACAGAGGCCCCCCCCTTTAAAGCGCCCATTTCCTCCAGGGGAACTGATCTCTGTACTCTGGAGATGAGCTGGAATAGCAGGAGATCCCCAGGCCCCACCTGGAGGCTGGCATCCCTGACGCTCAGTGGGGCACAAGGCCACAGAGTCCACCCTCCAAAGCAGCCGTTTCCTCCAGGGGAAACTGATCTCTGCAGTCTGGAGATGAGCTGGAATTCCGGGGATCCCCAGGCCCCACCTGGAGGCTGGCATCCCTGAACCTCAGTGGGGCACAATGTCACAGAGTCCACCATCCAAAGCAGCCATTTTCTCCAGGGGAGACTGATCTCTGTCGTCTGGAGATGAGCTGGAATTCCGGGGGATCCCCATGTCCCACCTGGGGGCTGGCATCCCTAGGGGTAACCTTCTTGTTCATAAGCAGAGGTGTTAGGCTGGGATGTGGTGTTCATATGATATTCGGAAGATCCTTTTGGAATTATTTGTACCTCCTACCAGGGCCAGTTCCAGGTTCTGAAGGGCCCCGGGCAGACAGCGCTCAGACTCATCACCGCCACCCCCAGGAGCCCCAGCCACACCTCCATTTCTGCCCCCACCCATATTCCCCACATCTGCCTGTGCCTCCTTATCAGAAACATCAACCGTGAGCTACAGCATCCAAGGGAAACACTAAGCCCGGTACTGTGTGAGCATAACGAGAACACGAGAGAAGAGTTAGGAGAACAGTGAAGCACACAGCCCAGCACAGGACAGGCTATGGAACCCTAACCCTGAAGACAAAATAAACAACCATCCCTCAGCAGAATGAATGACAAATGCCAGGGTGTCACCTGTCACACCTATAGAAAGGTGGCTTTTTTCAGAGTTAATTTGTTTAACTCAAAGATAAGTCAAATACACAGAAGAAACCAGGAAGCATAAACATTAATGCATTCAACACTATCACAACGGAGTGTAAACATATACACCTAAAACACTTCAATAACTCTGCCTTATACCCTTTGTTATGGTCCCTAGTATCCTACCATTAAGATGTGAGTATTGTGTAATATCATTAAGATATAAGTGCAAGCTTTTGGAAAGAGGGCTCAGACCCTAAAATAAAGGCCAACTAAAGTAAGAAAAAGCAACTCATAAATGAAGCCATTCGGCATAGCCGACAGGTGCTGGTAGAATGTCATTTTCCTTCCATCTTGTATACGTCTGCTTTTTCCAAGAAAGGGAACCGTTTATCTAAGGGATTAAAGAGCTCACATCCCCCTGTGACCCTCCCCCCTACTCGAGCCCCGCTCGTCCGCACAGCCCCTCTGAGCCCCCATCCAAAAAACCCCCTCACTCTTTACAATAAAGCTTTTTATTGAGATCCACAGGAACAGCTGCATTCATGGGGAAGGACACACACAGTGGGTGTGGGTGGGGGGTCACGGCAAAGTCCTGGAGGGCCAGAGGCAACGGGGTGTTTCCCCTCCAGCCAGGAGGAGTCCAGCAGAGTCAGGGTCTCCGAATAGGGGGGGGCTGTCAGGGTCCCAGCGGGGGGAGGCCTCTGGCTTCGAACAGCTGCTGCAGTTTCTCTTCCAGCACCGTGTTGGTCCCCCTCAAGCCCGTCACCACCTCCGAGGCCCAGCAGAAGTACTCCTGGACCCGCTCCGCAGACCAGCCTGCCCAAAGAAAACGCCCCCCCCCATTAGAAACCGAAGGCACAGGCGGAGGACACCCCTCCTGCAGACCGGCCAGGCGGACAATAAGTGGGCAGCCCCTCCGCCCCAGTCATTCCAGCAGCCGGGCCTGCCCGCTGCCTTCCAGCGCCAGTCTCTCCGCAGGCCGGCCGGCCTCTTACTCTATTGCAGCCAGCGCAAAAATTAGGTCTTGTGGAGCCCCGCAGACGACCAGGCTGATTTACTGCTTGTGTAAGTAAGAACCCACGGCTTCAGGTGGAAGACATTGCAGGTGGAGACCCACTCCTCTGCTTGCACCCACCTGTCTGCACTCTGGGTGTTTCATTTTGGCCTCTGGCTTATAAACTCCACCATGGGTGGGGGGAGGCACTTGTACACCATTTGGTCTCCTAGCCTCCTTCTGCTCCAAGGGCAGCTGCTCCCATAATCCACCACAGGCCTTAATTTCTGTACCTGAGAACAGTGGTGCTTTCCAGAGAAGAGAAGATTGGATTTATACCCCACCCTTCACTCGGAATCTCAGAGCGGCTCACGAACTCCTTCCTCTTCCCCTTCCCACAACAGACACCCTGTGAGGGAGGCGGGGCTGAGAGAGCTCTGAGAGAACCTGCTCTTTTTCAAGGACAGCTCTTGTCAGAACTAGGGCTTGCCCAAGGTCATCCAGCCAGGGGCAAGTGGAGGAGTGGGGAATTCAAACCCGGTTCTCCCAAATCAGAGTCCGCACACTTAACCACGACACCAAACTGGCTCTTGATAAGAGATTCAGATGCACAAAACAAAGGCCTTATTTCAAAAATATATTCTCTGTTAATTAAAAAATCATGCTCTAAACAGCTACCATATCAAAATGCGTGGAAAGGAGACACTACAGAAAATCTCACGGACGAAACGTGGGAACGCATATGGAACTCATCAAGCTTCAAAACAAAAGTAATATCTGTCAGAATACAAAATCTCAAAATAATGTCAAGGTGGTATATCACTCCACTCAGACTTTCCCATATAGCTCCGACCCTATCACCATTGTGTTGGAAGGGGTGTAACCAAACAGGAAGTTATGCGCATTGTTGGTGGCAGTGTGATAAAATTAAGAAATTCTGGCAAGAAATACTAAACGTGATACAAGACATCACCTCAGTCCAAATTCCACTAAAACCGGAAATTTTGTTTTTGAATATCTGGCCTGAAAATTTGAATTCAAGGGTACATAGACGCACAATAGAAGTCCTTCTAGATGCAGCCAAAACAGCAATAGCATTGTACTGGAAGGAGAAAGAGGCACCCTCAGTAGAAATATGGTATAAGAAACTTTGGACTCATTACTTAATGGATGCAGTCTCCAACAAACTAAATTGCATGTCACAAAACCCAATAAAGTCTAATTTCATAGAGAAATGGTACCCAGTGCTAGATTATCTGTCACAAAAACAATTTATCTCATCTGATTGGTCTCAATATCACAAATGGATATAAGATTAATGCAATGTCCAGTTCCGCAAATTCTCATACTTACTTACTTATATCATCTCCACTAGCTCTAATATTTCCTTTTCTTTCTTCTCTTTCTTACCGCTCCAATAGTTCGGGATGCTTCCTAATGTTCCTATCAAGTTTACGCTAAGTCTGGTATCTTTCTACTGAAATCATATTCGGAAGTGTGTTGAGTAATGTATTGTAATTCTTTGAACATGTTATAACGTTGTACATACGCAGGAACTATTTACAGGATGTGAATGTAATTGGAAAATTAATTGTTCACTGTTTGAAGTGTTAGAATTGTTAAAAATTGAAAAAATAAATTTAAAAAAAAAAAGGAAATGCAAAAAACCCGGTCTATGTGTGGACTCACTCTCACTGTTTGAGGCTAGAGTTTTTGCAGAAGTTCCATGTTTTTATTTTCCCCAGTGTCCTTTGCATGGATTATGCCTTTTAAACATACAGTATCCCACCTGGGTCCTAGAGATGTAGAAAAGCTAAGTAATGAATTGTTAGGTTTGATTGACATTCTGGTAGGAGAGGATCTGGCAACCCAAGAGGAGCTTATTTGGTCAGGTGCAGAAGAGTTTGGGCGTGCTCTTGGATCCAGCCTTGTTAGGAAAGCAGACAGGAGTGGCTGCCCAGAGGGCCTTCAGGCTGTGTGTGAGAGATCACCCCATCTGGGGCCAGCGGAGTTAGGCCCACCTGTTCAGGCAGCGGTGACCTCTGGGTGGGATGAGGGCCCACAGCCTTCCCTTCGTCCAGAATGGGGCCAGGCACCTTTAGAGTAGGGCTAACTGTTTGTGGAACACTTTGCTGACCACCTCTTTGTTTCCGGGGTTCCACTTCAAGGTCTGGAACTGACCTTTCAAGCCCTGCAGGTGTGCCTGCTGTACTCCACCATCTACCCTTGCCGGCTGGCTTCTCTTTGGCAGGACTGTGGGCCTTGGGGGGTTAGGATGGCCCTGGCACGGCGGCGGGTGTGTTCACCTTGTGGGGCGCAGCGGGCGAGGTCGCGGAGGTTGTGGAGCTTGTCGGCCAGGGCCACCAGGCGGGCGGGCGGGCTCTTGTGGGCGGCGCGCTCCACCTGCAGGCGCTTGCGCTGGGCCTTGGGCAAGGCCTTGTCGTCGGTCACCTCCTCCACGACGCGCCGCACCTCCGGCCCGAAGCGCGCCTCGATCTCCGCCAGGGAGGTGTCGGTGTCCTCCACCGTGCCGTGAAGCAGCGCGGCCTGGGGGGGGGAGAGCCGGCATCATTCGAGTGAAGGAGGGCAGCCCTCTGCACGCGCTCAGAGGTGCTCTCTCCCTCCCCCCCCCCCCGGGTCCAAGGGAAAGGGGGCGCGGGGGG